TAATGACCTATTACTACAACAAAACAAGGTTTCAGTGATTCAGTGAATTCAATCTACCTGTGTCTGTACTGTTACCTCAATAGATGCTTATGGTCCAAGAGTACTTTGAGATAATCTGCCAGCTTCTTTTGCATGAGCGCTAGATAAAGCCAAGCCCTTCCTCTTCCCACAGCAGTCCTTCAAAGGAAAAGTTGCATGTTTTGGTAAAAACAAAGCAAAGGAAGATGAAGTTTGCTACTTACTGAAAATACAAAAATTAATAATAATAAAAATCTTGGGGAAATGAAATGCTGTTTCCAGAACACAAAGCAATTAAGTATATCCCATTGCTTCATCAAAGGGAAAGTATATTGTAAGGTCTTCCTCACTTGGAAAGACATACATATTTTCAGCTACTACCATAACCCGACTATTGATGCATCCTAGCCTTGAAACAAGTCTCTTTGCATCATCCTGAATTACCCACACTGAATACTACTAGAACATGCACAAAGTGACACGAAAAATAAAAGCAAGGGAAAGAAGAAGGAAAATGCATGTAAAGACTTTACAGTTATTTTTAGCAAGGTGATAGGAGCTTCCAGATGCTGTTTTTAAACTTGCAGCATTATCTGAATCAGCAGCACTGCATATTTTGAAATATCCCCTTATTTCTTGAAGAAGTCAATGCCTCCTACATATCCTGTTTTATTCTTTGGGTGTAAGAGCTCATTAAGGAAGGCGAGAGGCTACAAGAAGGATTCTTTTTTTTCCCAGAAGTATAAATGAAATGCGTCATCCCCAACAACCAACTTACTTCAACTCTGGCAGATTTTTAACACTAGTTGCTATATCTGATGCTTCAGGACAAAGTTTTTCCACTAGCTCCAAAGGACCAAAAAACGATTTGTTCTGTCCAATAAAAGTCTTCTTCACTAGAAGGAGTATACAGAGAAGTTTGTGAGGTAAAGTGACAGCTTTCCAACCCCAAAATTATGGATTTCAGTCTACCTTTTGTTTTACAGCTCCTGATATGTCAATGAAAAGGGGGCATTAAAAATACCTTGACAGTTTAGGAGGCACAAAATACAGGGCACAGAAGGCAAGGGCAGGTAGGGACAGGACAAGGGGAATGGCTTTAAACTGACAGAGGGGAGATTGAGATGAGCTCTTAGGCAGAAGCTCTTCCCTGTGAGGGTGCTGAGGCACTGGCAAGGGTGCCCAGAGAAGCTGTGGCTGCCCCATCCCTGGCAGTGTTCAAGGCCAGGTTGGACACAGGGGCTTGGAGCAACCTGCTCTACTGGAAGGGGTCCTTGCCCGTGGCAGGGGTTTGGAACTAGATGAGCTTTAAGGTCCCCTCCATCCCAGATCATTCTATGATTCTACCTGTAATACGAATGAGCATTATACAGTGTATGTGATTAATATCAGCATCACACAGGACTCAAACTGGAGACACGGGGGGAGGAGGGGGGGGAAACACAACAGAAACTCATGGATCTGCCTCTGCTGGTGCGGCAGCCGGGGCCGGTGTGGGGAGTGGGCGCCCACCTTTCAGCCCATGCTTGAGGCAGTGCTCCAGCACCACGAAGAACTGCTGCAAGGGCGGGAAGTCCGAGTCCAGCGTCCGGCCCAGGCTCAGGGCCGACTGGATCAGGGTCTTGATGCTGAGCTTCATCATGTTCATGAGGTTGGCGCGCTCCTCCATGGCGTGACACCGTGCACCTGCGTCGGGAGACATGGGTGGAGGAAGAAAAGCTGCTTTTAGAGCCGCAGTCCAGAACCCCTCAGCGCTGACGAGAGCGATGCTTTCCCGTCTCGATCTCTGTCTTGCGGAGGTGAATGGCTTCCGAAGAGCTGGGTGTAAGGCACGAGTGAACCCCCCCACCCAACACCTGTACGCGCGGATCTAGAGCGGTCATCGTGGGGACCGGGGCCGCTGCCCGAGCCCTGCCGCTCTCCGACCCCGCCGCCACGGCCCCCCATGGGGGGAACCAGACCCCCGGACCCGGGCCTAGCGCCACCTCAGCGCCCGCGGGCGGGGGCCTACCTGAGCGGCGGGCGCGGTGCCGCAGGGCAGGCCCCGCCCCCGTTACCGCGGCAACGGCTCACGCACCACCACGACCACCGACCCCCGGGAGATCTCGCGAGACAGAACGAGGTGAGGGCGGGCTGCGCGCTGCGCCAGGCGCCATTTTGGAAAGAGGTTGTGGTGGCTGAAGCGGGTGGTGGTGCTGAGCCGGGTAGGTGATGCTCCTCCTCGGCCCTGAGGAGAGGGCGAGGCGAAAACAGGCTGCCAGCTACCGCTTTGCCTTCAGTCAACAACAAGTTCTCAGAGACGCTGCCTGCTGGCTACCTAAATGGTGGTTTTGAGCAAACGGTGTCGCATTAGGAGAATCCTGCTGTCACCTGTGGGTCAAACATGGCTGTACTCCTTTGCAGAAATAGCCGTTGTGGAAGAACAAGGATTAAAAAGTCTGACAGTTAGAAATTTTGGTGTCGATATTGTGATGTTACACATTGGGAACAGAAAAAAGCTGACTGCAGAAACACAAAAGTCAGTGACTTTCTTAGGGTATTGGGGTGTTTCAGGAGTAATGCCAGCTTATTTTGATGGTTTCCTGAATTTTTTACTTCATGATGGCTTGTGAGCCATGCTCAGGGTACACACATTGTATTACTCACAAGACAAATCAACAATCCAACCAACCAACCATGAAATGTGTTTTCTGAATATAAATTTAAGTAAGGGTTTGTATTCCTTGAATAGTATTTTTAGACTGTTGCAAATTTACAGTCAACCACATCTGTAAAACTGTACAAGTTGGTACATGTAAAATAGACAGGTATGTAGACAAAATAGACACAAGCCTCAAAGACTGGGAATTGGGTTGCCCAAGTGAAAAGATCACAGACATTATGCTGCAATCCTTAAGAATGAAGTCACAGTCCTGTATCTCATTGAGCAGATTCATTTTAACATCTTTTTGAAGCCCCACCTTGATTACTGTAATTACTCTGCACACTTTGAAGTCAGAAAACACGGAAGCAAAGCGGGCAGTTCTCCATCTCTCGGTCTTTAAGGCTACAAGTCTTTCTGGAGTTGTATTTAGATCTGTAGCTCCCTGCCTTCTCTACAAGGCAGGACACAGTTTCTTCAATGGCAGACTGGCTTTATGCTCTGCCTTTCTGTATGTCCAGCTGACTGCAGTGTACAGCACAGTTTACACGGGATCAACAGAGCTGAAGTAGCAGGCAGAGGTTATAAGATCTCTGGGGAAAAGATGGCAGCAGAGAATGAGTTGCTAGATTTCCACATATGGTCTTGCAGGCCTCAGCTTATTCCTTAAAAATACCTGCTTTCAATTGTATTTATAGTGCTTGGGGGAGGTAGTGTTTTAATCTCTTACTTTACAGACAAGGATCTGGCAGATTATGGTAAAAGTTCTATTAAGTGTGGGAGCTCCATTTCAGGCAAGAGAAGATGTTATTTCCCCTTGCCAAATGCTGCATGTTGTGTTGAATTATGTCTATGTACAGCATTATTCCAAATGCAGCTGAAGACGATGGATATTCTGCACATTGTCAGGTTGGATCCCGAGTGCTCAAGATGGGCTCCCAGGAAACAAATCTGTGACAAGTCTGGTGTGAGGCTTAAGAGATGCAGGGAAAGAAAGAATCTAGGGTTTTCAGGACAGAATGAACCTTAAACTCTGGCTATGCAACACATGAATTTTCACAAAAAAATAAAGAATCAGCAGTAGCTTATTTCTCCATGAAGCAACAATCCATCCCCACAGAACTCCTGCTTGAATACTTAATACCATTAAAAACAAAAAGGTCAGCACCAGTTAGCAAACCTGAGCCCCACTGCTCCAAAACCATTATACGCTGCACTGAGACCCTGGAGAGCAAGACTCCAGGCCCAGTCACTGCTACATTTAATGTTTTTGTTCCATGTTATGAACATAATCTAGATTTATAATTTATAGGGATTTATAATTAATAATTTCCATACCAACTAAAGCCCTTTAAGTTCAGTTCAAAGAGACTAGTTCCATAAATCTGTGTGGCTGCTAGATCCATACAGATGTGTAATAAAGCAAGATGTGGTTAAATAGAAGGCATTTTTAGTGTGGTTAAGAAGTAATTTATAACAAATCTGTATCTTAGTTCACTTGTGCCTTTTCTGACATGAAGGTATCCAAGAAGTGCAGCATAGCTCCTTCTCTGAGCCAGCACACCCAGAAGGATAAGGGGTTGATAGATCACTTATGGAGCAGTGAAGCTGCTGCTGAGGTGAACTTTAAGGGAGAGGGCAGAAAGGAACCAAATAAAAGCTGACTGCATAAAACTAACATCCGTTTCCCCCAATATATTTAGACTTCAGAATTTTTCTGATAATAATAAATTCTGTTAAATTCTCCACCTGTGTTGTTTTTCCAGATTTGCTTAAATAAAACTCTGCAGCATCAGACTGTTAACAATAATTCAAAGTAATAACCATGCATCACTGGCGCTAATCAGCAGCACTTACAGGAGCAAAGTTATTTGCGCACCATTAAAGCAAGTTTACTAAATAAGCATAACCATACTTGTTTTTGCTGTGCTGTCATTGCTGACTGGTTTGGACATGAATCCTACCAAAGATGCAGACTTCAGAGCGTGGCCATAGCTCAGCGCTAAGTTTTCCGAGGCTTTCTTGGCCAGCGACAGGATGGGCGCAGACCACCTCCCTTCTTCCGTTCTCCCTTGTTCCTGGTTTTTCAGCTCGGTCGCGTTTGGGATCTGGGTTTTGTCAATGATCTCAAAGTCTTCCTTTCCCTCCGCCGCAGATGCCGTGCAACTCTCCCCTTCAGCCATCTTTAACGTGTCATATGACACTAGTCCTGAGCAATCGAGCCGCGGCCCCGCTCCCGGCCCGCCGCCGGTACCCACGGCTCGTTCAGCCTTGGGAAAGCAGCTGCCCGCATAAGCAGGGCCGAAGGACAAAGGTGCCCAGCGCGGAGCAGCTTGCTTGGTGTGCAGAGCTAAAGGCTCTGGGGAGGAAAGAGTGAAGGGGGATGCGGAAGACCAAGAAAGTTTACTTCTAAACAAGTTATGAAAGTAACGAAATTACACTTCACATCATTTTCTCGCTGTGTTCTCAAACATCATTTCCAGTTAGAAAATTTGTAGTATCTTTTGACATCACAGATTTATGCAGTTAAATTGTGACAAATTAAAGAAATCTCTATTACTTTGCCTGCAGTTCAAGTCACTGTATCTTGATTAGAATAGTGAGTTGGTGTGACAGGTTCACTGTTGTGAAAAGCGCTTGATTGCATCACTGACATTACAAAATGGCTGTAGGCAGTAAGGACACGTCATGAACGTATTTGGGCTGCATTTGGTAGAAAAGATCTGTCATGAAGGGGAACTGAAATTATCCTGGTATAAAAATTTCATCTTTTTTCATGTCTTAAATATTGATGGAGTCTACTGATGCATGGCTTATTATCCATTTTTCCATCCAGCAACTCTATGTGCTTGAGATATGCCACTCATTAGCTATATTAGCTTTTTTGCTACAAAGGAAAGTTTTTTGTTTGGTTGTGTTCGTTTGTTTTATTAAGAAATGTGAAAAGGAGAGTTAAAGATCAATTTCAGTAGTCTTGAAGTGAAATAAATCTTCAGGTCTGTATCTTATTTGCTCTCCAGCTGTAAGCGATTTTCAGAGTGATTCGGTGCTCTTGGCTTCTCAGACACTGCAAATTTAGCAACTTTTGTTCCTCAAAGCACAGGGAAGTTCTTATATTTTTGTTGATAATACAGAGATCAGCAGCCTCTTACTCACCCATGAATCATAGGAGCTAACTATAGGCTTTAAGATCCTTTTGTTCAAAGGTTATACAGGTAAGTTTTACTCCATCTTGTGGACTCCAGCAGTATTTGGCTGTGTTTATAAGGAAGTAGAATCTAACAGCTTTGTTAGATTGCAGCTATCTTGCAGCTGACTGTTTGACCTGGGTAAAACCTGACATTGATTTTCTGACTTTTGCTATCCACCATTAGAGTCAGGGCAATATTGACTAGAGAAGCAAAGCAGAATTCTAAGCATTGAAGTAACTTTTTTTTCAATACATCTGCAGAATAGGGTATAAAAGTTTTGTGACTGAGAAAGTAAGAGCAAACCAAATCTCCTATTGACCTCTTAGTGTTGCTTCCATAAGAGAATGATGTGTCAGATGCCCCTTTACAGCCTTACAATTAGCTACTTTGTAAAAATACTTAGTGAAACCACCACATAGTGGATGATCATTGTTTCTTATGTTACTGTTGAAGAAACATTTGATCATTTTATTGCAGGGGCCTGCAGAAATCAAATAGGAAACTATACTGTGCATAAGAAATTTCCTGTATTTCTTTTGCTACACAGCCATATGGTTTGATTGTAGTTCCTTATTACTTTGGCCAAAATGACTTAAATGTTATGAATTCAGCCACTGAATGTGTTAAATGCCCTCTTTCCACACTCTTCTTCTTTTAAAACAGGCAGAAAGTTTTGTAACCTTGTAAGTGAGCCCTAAGTTAAAGGTTTGTTTTGTTTACCAAGTGTCTTCTTAAAGAGGGGAGAATCACATTTAAAATATTTAAATAACAATTAATTTGAAGTATATAGAAAGATTATTCTTGAAGGAGTCTCTTTTAATCAGGAAACTGTCCATTTAAGACAAAAGTCTGGCTAGCCAAAATGGAAGGTAGCTCATTTTAGAGTAGGAGAAGCTCTATCATTTGCATTCAGTGGTATTGAAAGGAATATTAATTTTCATGCAATGATACTTAGCAATACAATTTATTTGATTAATTCTTCTTTATCTTTGTTGTTTTTTTTTTGGGGGGGGGGAATTAATGTTTTAAGAAACTTTTTTGCCATTTACCATTTCAAGTGAATCACACCCTTTAAATATTTAAAATCAGAAAAATGCCACTGTATGCTAAAGGGAGAACTTTCATGATTAGCTGTCAGTTATACCTTGCATTCCTATAGCATTTTCAATCAGCAAAACATAGATTACATTACAAATAAGCTAGTCAAGTTTTTGACCTTTAAAAAGGTAGTAGCAGTAAATACCAAATGTAGCTGTAGTTAGAATAACATTCAAAACCTCCCCGAAACCAAGTGTGTTGTGTTTTTAACAGCATATTATAGAACATTCATGTGGCAATACAAGTCACAGTATTCAGTGAGAAAGATTCAGTGGCTGGTGAGTAGAGCTGGATCCTCCAAGTTCTGAGCAGCCACTTTGTGCTAGGGTGAGGGCAATAAGTTATATATTAGCATAGCTGATAGTGGTGCAACTGTCAAAGGTCATCTTCCAGTGATTACAGTGGCATCAAATACCAATAAAAGTGTAGTATATGTATTGCTCTACTCTGAACTATTACCTGCTTTTATAGGATAAAACAAACAAAAAGAAAAGCTTTTAGTAGGAGTACAGTGGACTGAAAAGTGGAATATCTGAAAGCAAGTAAAAGCCCCACCGGTTTTCCTTTTTTGTTGTTTAATATGTTTGTTGGCACTGTAGAAGAGAGGCAGTAAGCAGAACTACCCACTAGGTGACATCACGGCACTGCTTTATTCACAGAGCAGCATCTAACATACAGCAAGGCCACGCTGAGAGCAGATGCCACGTTGTGAAGCTACCTGGGAAAAAACAAATAGCTCACAAGGTGTCACCTTCCCAGGCGCAGCTGTAAACACCAGGTCTTTATGCCAGCCTTAATAGACGTGGTTTAGGCGTGGTCTTTAAGTGCTCCTCTGTTGAGAAAAGAACTGATGACAACGCAACAATGTCTCCTTGAAAGCTTTACTTTCTTGGAACAAAGTTTGTAAAATAGGAAAAGAAACGTTGTGGTGCTCTGTTGTACAAGCTGTGCTAGCAGAGATCCCTTGGGGAAAAGGAAGTAGTCACCCCACCAACTTTTATAGGAAGTTCAACTTGTGACTTGAATATGTGTCCAGAATATTCTCTAATGTAATACTTGCTGTTAATGAATTCAGGGTCATTTCCCAGTTCTAGAGTCTGAGGTGGGATTATGAAATGATTAGTGTTTTACGAAAGATTTTCATACATTAACAGTTGTTATAGAACATTCCAAGCACTTCACAAGATTCAAAAAGTTTGGATAAATGGTCTAATTTGGTTTAGGCTACATACCAAATCAGAAATCAGAGCACATCTGCTTGCATAGTGCAATTTAGAGACTTGATGACCTGTGTGACTTCGGGTTACATTTTTCACGGCTTGTGTGTTTTGGGTCTTCTTCTTGGCTCTCACTAGCTTGGCCTTATTCTGCTATTGCATGCAGACAGTTACGGATCAAGTATAAATTTGAAGGTTTTATAGAAGTGCTGTAAATTGACTCAACTGAGGGGCATAGGGTCAAAGGAATTATAAATGTTATGACAGGCTGAATCCTAATACGAGATGAATGCAGCATCTTTGAAATTTTTTGCTACTTAATGCAGTTTTCAACTAACACACATGAGAATACTTACACAGGACTTAATTAGATGAAGAAATGGGCTCATATCACTCAATTAATGTAACAGAAATGTTGCAGATTGCAGAAGAAAGTGTTCTTAGATATACATATATATATATGATAAGCCACTGAAATACATTATATAGTTCCTACACAAGCCTAGGAAAAAAAAAACGTTGTTAGTTTAGTCATATATTAAAAAAAAAAAAAAATAATTGGAAGTTCATTAAAAATCTGTTATCCATGAAGGTCAAAAAAAAATTCAGACTTCGACTTAAAAGACAATTTCTGCTTCCTCCAGTAACATGGCATGATTTGTTATATCATGGCTACAAAAAATCCTGAGGCAATCACTTTATCTGTGGTGAGTGGTTCCCAGTATTTTCTTCCTGCCAAGTACCCTTTTGGCATCCAGCTACACTTCCAGGTTTTTCTTCTTCCCTTCCTTCCCAACCAGATACAAACTTGGTTCTAGGCTCCACAGTCACTTTCTGAAAAGCTTTGGAAAGTTGCAAGTTCACTGGATACAATAGAGATGTGTGCAAGATGATTTGAAAGTTACTAAATAATGGTATTATAAGAATAGCAGAGTTTAAGAGGAGTTTAATTTTTTGCACATACCAGATAACAGTGTTTTGCTGCTCCGGTAAAAAGGAGAAAAGAGAAATTAGACGAAAGGATGTTTAGTTTCCTACAATATATTGAAGTGGTAAGTTTCTTCTCCAAAAGGAATACTGAAAGACTCTTTTCCATTTAAGATTCTAAAGAATATTTAGGTGCTTGCACACAATTCTGGTGACAATACACTTGTGCGTCTGAGGGCAGAGTGTGGCACAAACTGGCTAACTCTCCTCCACAAGTAGTTGAGGTGTTGCAACTGAGTCACATCTGTAAGATGCAGTGAACAGGCAGTTGGAAAAGATTGCAACAGGTAGTGTGAGAAGTGCAGCTCCTGGCTTGCTTGTTACCTTCTCAGTGAATGACACTGCATACGAATTAGTAAGATATCTGAAGAACCTAAACTGAAGTAAGTACATCTTTATCTAGATTTTTTCATTGTTTTAAATAGAAACGGTATCTTCTCTACCTCGTTTCTTTTCTCAGAGCTTTTGTCTTTGCAGAGCTGTAACTAATAGTTGATTTGCCACACTTAAGGAGAGACTCTTTGATTCAATGGGAATTTTTATGGGGGTAAAAAGGGAAAAATGAACTAGGTGTTTTACAGATGTGAACAAGCACCTTAGTTTTTGACAGAATAAATGGGAAACCTAAGCTTTTGAATAATGCAAATGTGTAGCTCAGTCAGCTTTACTGTTTCTGTGTTACCAGTTCCCCTTACGTTACAAGTTAGCTAATTTCTCTCAAGGCCTTTCCATATGTCAGGAGTAAGATGCAAGTTAGATGTTAACAGTTGGATTGCTTAGCAATCTCTCACCAAGAATCCTTTAGGAATATCTTCACTACTCCATTTGAGGGAATTAATCATACATAAGCATCTCACCTTTGGAAACAGAACTGAAAAACTTAAGGCACTAGTGACTCAAGTGGTTTAAACTAATCTAAGCCAGGCCACTGGAGTGTTGCTGTTCTCCTTTTCCTCCAGCTGTGTGTTCCCATTTCTTTACAACAGTGCTGCTCCCCATATGACCTCTTGATAAGCCAATCAAAGGTTAAATATGTCAGGAAATAAAAGCTGTAGTTCTCTAGCAGCCCAAGGCAATCTAACTGCTGGCTGCTTTCTTGCTGTCTCTTGCCTCTGGCCAAACCCTTTCCCTGACTCCCTTGGTCACGGTTGTTGAGCCATTTCAGTGCACTGACTTGGCAGAAAACTAATACAACAAAAGTGAACAGCTTTTGTGCTGATTTAATGCACTGAAATGGCTCATATTTTCCAAATTGTGTGT